ATGCTGTCCGTGGCGGTCCAACAAGCGGTCGCCAGCACAGCATTGGGCGGCCCCTGGCAGCAGCCCCTGCGGCCGGGCACCTGCGGGGGCCCGCCGCTGGATGTAGTGCTGCAGTGGACCGACCCTGTTGGCCCCAGCCGCTTGCCTTTGCGGCCTGAGCTGGCAGCCGGTAGTTGGCGCACTAGAAGCCTTTGTGGATCAGGCGTAAAATGGTCCGTGGAAAAAAAAAGCTGTCATTTTACTGTCTTTCCATGATTTTCATCATGTTTCACCGATTCTCATGAATTTTCATCGTTTCTGACGATTTCTCATCAGTCGTCATAGCTTTTGCCACAGAATCGTGCTCTCGTGTGAGGCGACCTGCGATTCCAGGCCCCCAGCCAAACAAAAATCGTCAAAAAATTCAACCCGTTTATTATGGCTTCAATGGTATGCATGATGTGGGCGTGTTCGGGCCCGCAGTTGGGGGTACGTCTAGGCTGCGCGCTCCCGAATTTTGGCTGAAAGGGCAGGTGCCTTTGTACATTGAGCTTGACCGGCGATGGGTGCTGTGGTGAGGCTGCAGCGAGACGAACCTGCAGGGGTAATGTTGTGCTGCTATCGGGGCGGGGTGTGCCATGGGGGCAATCGGCAAGATGTAATGCTCAGGGACATAGCCTCGCGGAAATCTGTCCAAAAGTGAGAAACTGCAAAGCTTTTGCAGTGTTTTGCCACCTCCAATTAGGGTTTCACATGTTTCATATAAACAGAACCAATGTTGCGCACGGCCATTCTGCCGAAACAAGTAGTGGTTCGCCTGGGATATGCCCCATGCAAGGGATCCCGTTTCCTGGCCATATTCCAGCTCGGAGACTCCAGCCAATGCTGGCCCAGAAACGCGAAGTGTGTATTTTGGAGTCTGGGCTAGCTCCTTGCGACATGTTGCGATGCAGCCGCTGACGTTCAACTTCAAAACATGCAGTAGATTGATGCAGATTGACTATTCCCGTTTTGATAATATCGACACATCGGACAGTGAGCCTTGGATGCAAAGATTTCTTGCACGGTTTTCGCATGATGTGTCTTTTGCTTGCAAATTCTCGGCTGTCATATCTTGATGTGGCCCTGACCGAGGAAAATGGCGACCAGCCAGTGTCGTTGCAACCACCCGCGGCATCGGAAGGTCCACCTGGACCCCCTCCTAATGTGACGCAGCTGACAAGGTGTTGTTGTCTGTCGACTTTTGTTGGCGTTCATGCTTCAGTTGCCATGGATTCACAACCCCAGAGGGAATGTAACCATGAGGTTTTGGATGATTTAGAAGACTATTTCCATCGGCTTGACGCTCGGAGATCTGAAATGGAAGCTGGGTTGATCAACGCAAGTGCGGAGGAGGATCTTGATGTTGAATTGCACGTGAAACTCTGGAGATGCATAGAAACGTGAAGGGTCAACTTGCTGTGCCCCCATGCGTTGAAAGCTTGGCTGAAACAGTTGAAGGACCCTGGATCAATTCCGTCTGTGGAGCGCTTTGATGATGCAGATTTTCACGAGCTAGTTCGGTGCCGGGCCGACGACAACACGGAGTGCGCGATATGCTTGGCAAACATGTTGCCACACGAGGCCTGATGGCTGCCTGTGCAGTTCCATTTTCTCCTTTGGAATTGACATGCTACTGTCATGTCGTCTAGCTTGCGAATACATATGCAGCATGCAAACTGTTGGTATTATTCGTGAAGCAGCCATATCAAAGCGGTGGCATTCTTCAGAAAGGTGATTCTTGCCAATGACCCAGAACTGCTGCAGGACGCGATGCAGCTTCCCTGTGCCGCGCGGCACGTCTTCCACGAAGAGTGCGTTCGATCGTGGTTGTCAAGGAATGTTACCTGCCCACTGTGTCGCGTAGACGTTGAGCGCTTAGTTAGCAAAACTTTCCCAGCATGTGCAGCAGCCATCAGGTTCATGCTTGTTTTGGAAGTCAGTCGCGCCTCTGCTCACTGATGTTGAGGTTCGTGCCTTGGTCAGACGCCAGAGCAGATCCCAGGCATGGTGCCAAGGAGATGAAGGAAGAATCCATTCAGCACTGGTCGTCAGGCATCTGCACCACCAACTCATGGGGATGAATCTCAAAATTCCCCTCGAGCCTTCGGTGCGCTGTGGTGTATGCATGAACCTATGTGCTTGGTACGTCAGATCGGTGGATCTGTTCCAGGCTACACCCGAGACGGGGGAGTCATTCTGCGATATGATCCAAGGTTTGTCCTTCTGGGGGATTGTCAAAATTATGGTCCCTTTTTGGGTCCCCTAAATTAGGCCCCGTATTATAATAGGGACCATAATTTTGACAATCCCCTTTCTGTTACCGTTGTCGGAGGAAGTGCTTCGTTGGATCAGAAAGCGTGATGTGCGTAGGCCGCCGCCAGAGCTACCACGGCCCATGTACATACCTTTCGATCTGCACCATGCTGCTGAGCTGGTGACATGTTCGCAGAAAGATCCAAACACAACTAATACCAACAAACATCATTGCAAGCAGTCGCATCTTTTTCTGCTCCGTGGCGGCTGAGGTGGAGATACAGTACCCGAATAGGCGCGGCTTTCCAGTGCTAAGTTTTTTTTTATGGCAAGCACATCAAGCATGTTTTTGATGGTCTCTTGCAGGGGGACGGCCCGTGTGTGGCGGGTACCGCGGAATCAGTGACCGGTCCATCGTGGAATCCGGGAGAGCGAACTTAGCCGTGAACGTGTACGACTAGGAGGCAGCGTGTTGGGCAATCTGTTCTCCGTCATTGGAGGTCTTGCGGGCATGTGTCTGCTGTTGCCATATGCAGACGTGGCATGTGCGGACTCCGGGCGGACAGCGGGCAAACAGCGCGCTTTCTAGTCGAGCTACGGCACATGATTGTCCCCACATAGCATGCTTACAGCACTGGTTTGGTTGGCTTGTCGCAGCCTTGTTGCTCAAGTGGCCACCTAGAACCGCTCAGAAAAAGACGAAGCGGAGCAGTTCATACAGCAACATGATGACGAGTAGCAATGCCAGGAACCACACACATTTTTTACACAGTACATCTCCCCACAAAGCTGTAGCTCTGCCGCCTCTTTGGTGCATGAAATTTTGAGCATGCCGGATGCTGTGAGCATATCCGATGGCGATGCGCCCAAACCTGGACTAGGCACTTTGGTGCTCAGCAATCCGCCTAACGTGATGGATAATATGCTTTTTTACTTTCTGCATCGCTACAGCCCGCAAATTCCTATGCTTTCTTCTTGTGCTGCTATACTGGTGCGGTAATTCGGCCGCGCAGGGCTGCTTGAGAAATGCACTCATCGGTGTGCGAACCCGATTGGCATAACCCTTGCTCTTGATTAATAAGCCCCGGCCCCCCACGCCCTTTTTTCATGACCCAGCGCCCATTCTTCTAGGGGACCTTGGGCCCCGGACCGTTTCTGCGGGACCCCTTGCGAGCCTTTGCGGGCCGCTCCTTGACTGTTTCTGTTCGTCTTGTACATTGTTCTAGGAGGTTTCCTATACATGAAGAGAGAGCCTCTCACGCAAGCTCCGTAAGGGGTAGCTCAGGAAGCAATGTTTGAGCCTTTAATTACTAATAAGTTTTAGGAAGCAAATCAGCCTTCAAAATCAGCTTTGCTTCTCTAATTTCCAGACCAACCAAGTAAGCAAGTCTCCCTAAACTTTAGGCTTGTCAAGGTGAGCTCGTGAATCTAAGCAAGCCGTAAATTCAACAGCTATTCCAAATCGTTTGTAGCCCAATCAAAACCTATGTAAAATCAAGTAAGAACCCTCTACAAGTCCTTCTGTTGCTTTGTAGGATTTGGAGAACATTTCTCTTTAAATCTACGAGCACTTTGGCCCAAAAATGCCTCTGCCTTTCAAGTCGTACTTGACACCAAATTTGCACAAAGGGTATTTTTTTAATGAAAAAGCAGGGATTAAGTACTGTAGGTGTTTCGATGATATGTGCATGCATGTGCAGGCGCTGCGTTAAAAGATGGGAAGCCGCCAGATGAGACGGAATCGTAAATGCAAAGAGAAGCAAGGCGTGCTTGGGCAAAGCCAATGTTTGGCTGCTGCAGCCTCAGGACAATGCCAATTATTTTTGCGAGTATGCCTACCTTTATCACCAGATGGACATGCTGGAGGACCATGGAAGTGTTGCAACCTGCTACTTGAGAAAGGACATGGACACATTAGAGAGCCAAATGATTTTCAAGCTACTTGCAGGATGCCCATCGCACGGGATCTTACTTTGATGCAGTTATGTGTCTTGGCAGCTAGAGTGGCGCAATTGAGTTTCGCATTTCAGCCATCGTCTTTGGCTCCAGAACTGCTCGGCAGCAGAGCAACCAGTTTGTCTTCGCTAAGATTCGGCTTCGTTTTGTAAGCGGCATGCAAGTCCACGGCCTTCAGGCGCAATCGTGAAAACTTCAAGGACAAGGTAGCCCTGTCCTCAGCTTGTAGTTTCCATCAGTGGCAGAGAAGCGGCTCGCACTTGTGCATGGGCTGAGCTCACGCTCAGGTGCTGGATGTAGGGGCAGGAACTTGCATCCTGCTGCTCGTCGGCACGTGAATATACATGCCTCTCACGACCCATCTGCAGCCGCAGCAGGTCCATCTTCGCAGCGAAGGCAGGAGCTAAACAAGTCTTTGCAGTCGAGGCCAGGGCAGGGTCATAGCAGCCATAGTATCAAGCAGAGCTCGAGAAACTATGGCCTTGCAGGCCACAGACATGGCAGTCCGGAGTCGCAAAATAGTGGAAGCACAAGGCTGGCGGGGTACTATTGGTTTTGGCCATTGTCATGTTTCGGCTGTGAAGGCTTGAGCCATATCATCAAAGTGGTGCAGGGCACTGTCGATTCTCGCTCCGCAGCATAAGACTCAGCCTGCACAAGCTCCTTTAAAGACTTCAATGACCGCAAGGAGACAGTGACGCTGCCATGCATGGTGGATGTCATCATCAGCGACGCTAAGTTGCATACAACGTCAGCCATGACGGGGAACTGCATGATGTCGAATGCACGAGGAATGGATGGGATATTTCCTACTGAGAGAAAGTATGCTGGACAGTGACTTGGTTAATCCTTGAAGTCAGACAATCATGGGTGCGGGAGTAACGACACAAAATCAGGCGTACTCGTTGCCCGCGACCGGTTTCTGAAGCCAGGCTGGCTTTGGTCTCTGTGCTTCTGCAGTCGATTATTATTAGTACCATCATTTTTTTCTACTATGATTACTGTACTATCATTTTTACTGTTAGTGCCAATTGTGCCAATATCTGCTCAGGTGGTGCCCTGTTCCCTTCTCATGCCACGCTTTTCCTGGCGCCGGTTGGTCCCTTCAAAACTTGCCGCGAGAAGCAGCAGACCTTTGATGGCGAGCAGCAGCAGCCATCTTAGCCCATCCCTAGCAGGGACGCCATGGGTAGAATCATATACATATATATAGGGGATAATGGAAAATTAGATGGAAACTACTAGAATACTAAGGTTATAAAGAAAGCTATCTGGTTCTTTCGGGGCCCGCGTGCTTGCTTGCTTGCTCGCTTGCTCGCTAAGGCACTTTGAGGACTTCAACGGTTCGATGATGCAGTGGTATGGGACAGATTTTTCGTGCATGCGTGATGAGTTCTTGGCAGAGCAGCGCATGCGACTTGTCTTCAAGAGTGTTTGCAAGTCGCATTTTGCGAGGCTTCCCTTTTTCAGCTTTGAACGTGCGATTGAGTAGTACTGCTCAAGCAAAGGTATTACCTGCAGACAGGTATGTTTGTCAACCTCTCGCCGGGAGCATAGCCTGTTCTGTCAGAGGCAAACCACACCCCTTAATTAACAGTGAATATTCCTTGTAATCTTACGTGCCATTATATGGTGCAGCGATTGTGGAAGGGGGGGCTTTGTCTGAAGCAGCCATCCCCAAGCATGCTCCCCGAGCACTGAACGGACGATGGACTGGGTTGCTCAACTTGCGTGAAATCACCATAACATGGGTTTCCTTTGAAGAGGTTACATCGTGGCTACACAGGGTTTAGGGTCAAAACAACATAGTATGGACATAGAGTAGAAGATGGAGTTCCCACAGGTAGCTTACCGAGTGCACGGTCCTTGACAGCAACCGGCATTGAAGGGATGCAGAAGTGTGGAAAGGGCTGGTTAATTATGCGTTTACCTGTGCGACACCTGCATGGTCACACCATCTTCAGAACAGGGAAGGCCCCCCTCCTTGTGACAGCACCTTTGTCTTGCTGTAACAGCAAAGGCCGAAACAACTGGCTGGAACCGCCAGCCCTGTGCTGGAGATTGATCTTCTAAAGATCACCATACAGGAACTGCAGGCGGATTAGTTTACTGTTGGATTCCATTGGTACCCTGACGCAACATTTGTCAGGCAGCCAGGCCTCTGACGTGCACAATGAGGTGGCCTCGTCGTGTTATCACGTTTGATGGCAACTGCATTAGTGGCCATGCCAGGGTCACAAAAGATGGGCAACTGGATGGTTTCACAGGGTGCGCTCGTCGATCATGTGAGTTGTTGTAGGCACTGGATGGCGTACATACTGTAGCTTGCAGACGTCATTGGGCTCAGGTACTTCGACGTTGCATTCCGCGGTTCCCCTGAGAGCCCAGTGAAGCAGGTCCTAATGATGATGCTGCCTGGTGTGCAGAGCGCATTGAGAAAAGTGGGATCTGTCTTGCCTGAAGGAGGTTATCCTGACGACGGCACCCACGACCTCTACGCACACACATTGGGGGCAGCAGCCAGGGACCCATATGCATCTGTTAAAAAAGATTCATCAAGTTGTGGGGAGTGGAGTGAATCGTTGTCCACATGGAATTCGTCTGTGGCAGAAGGCTGCAGCTGTATGGCCTGACAGACCAGATACATGACATACCTGACACAGAGAATTCAGTGGAAGAGTGGTGTCTGAGCTTTGTCTTGGCAGGCTTGCTCAAAGATGGCAGTTTGTAGGATGTGCCGCTCTCTCCCTCTCCCTCCTGCATCCCCAAGGCTTTTTGGCTTCTTTCCTGCTCTTCAAGTCAGGCGTGGTGACGCGCTGGAGCCTTGGTAGATGTAGCAAGTGGGTCAGCGGTCAGAACCTATTCCAAGTCTGGATCCTTGCATGGATTGATGCTGTTGCCAACTTGTATGTGATGCTGCGTCTTCCCGTGGAGTAGTGGATGGCCAAATCTCCAGTGTCATGCCTGAGACCTCCTTTTTTGGTGGGTGTTAATGCGCAGTCGACAGATCAGTATACTTATTTGCTTTTTGGATGATGGCCTTCGAGGGATACTCCATCAAGATTTGAATTTGACATCCAGGCAGAAATAGACCTTGCAGCAGATCTTTTAGGCTCCTGATCTTGGTGCTTTCGCCAAAAGCCCCGTCAACATTGCGCGCCATCGCCCAGTGCCAGTCTTGCAGCTACGTAGATAGAGACCTTGGTCCAAAGCCGACGCTGCGGACCAGCTCAGCTCGAGAAGCGGGGGCCAAGGCCACGGGTCGGATGCAGGTGAGAACGCTGGATGTAGCCGGAACGGTCGATGAATTACAATGGCGATCGCCGAGCACGCCGCAGACGAGCAGATTTTCTTAGAGAGCGCATGACTAGTTAAGTATAAGATCGCCAAAAACAGTCTTCGTCTTGTTCAAATTTCCGTCCCAGCTGGGTCCGAAAGATGTTCCTGGCATGTCCATCTCAAATGAAAGGCTCGACTGCAAGCTTGTCATCAGCAGGCTCAATTGCCATTTCTGTGTTTATGGTGGAATGGATGTTGAATTGTATTTCGAGTGGCAGACCCGGAGGCAAAAGAAGAATCATCGGTTGCTACGGCTGGATGCGTGCTTTTCGGTCGTTGGCCTGTTACCCAGTGCCAGAGTTCGAGATATGTCGGTAGTTTTCAAGTTCGGGTGTTCAAGCTGTGATTTTGTCACCCTCCTGGCGTGTACGTATGACAACGTAGAGATGATACTTGCTGAGGCCAAGGAGGTACCCAAGTTCGCGAACAGCGTGAGGCCTCTCGTAACACTTGCATCCCCACATGCGATGTCCTCAAGTCATGATGCAGGACTCGTGGAACCTGGACTGATGCAACATACGTTAGGAATCCTCAGCCAGATTAGATTTCACGTGCAAAAAGATGCGAGTCTGCCTTGGTGCAGAGCAGCAGATCAGAGGAGCAAGAGCGTGCGGCAACTAGCGGCTCATCTTCAAAGGGCCTCGAACTGTCAATGGCCGCAATTTCACTGCTGGCACGTCTTGGCAACATACATTTCTGTATTCTGCTGCATCACGGAACGAGCAGCACGGTGTTGTAGCCAGTCCCTACATGCCAAGACTACAACCAGGTGACCTGAGAGCTGAGGCCAGCCATGCTTCAAACATGGATGGCGCAAGCACGCACCAGAAGCGCACACACGAACACTTGCGTTATCATCCGTTCACAGCTCTGACGCAAGCTCCCTTTGCATCACGGGGGCCTCCCCTTTTGTCCTTAACATGGCACTTGGCGAAGTCCTGGTGGCGGAACTGAAGCCGTTGCGACTCTTGCGGCTGTTGCGGCCGTGGCTGATGGGTCGATGGAGGTGTGCTTGCTTTCTGGATGCAAACACACATTTTTTCGCTGTGCCAAGATGCTTTCTTCTTGCAGGCTGCAGCCGCTGACGCAAGGGGCAAGCGAGCGCAGCGAGCCAGGAAACACCGGCTGCGGCGACAGCTCCAAAGTCTACGCAGAACAGGCGCATCAAACTAGTCGGTAGCAAAGACGTCAGCGGATGGCACCGAGCAGGTCAGACATCTGTTGGTCGCCTCCAGATTGCACGCCTACTTTCGGAGCTTCAAGACAAAGGTTATTTGGCTTCTTCGCAGGCTGGTCATGCCGCATAAGGTATTAAGGTTGATGCCGAAGCACTGAGTTGGTGAATTGTGAGGACTACGCAGCTGCGATCCATGCACTTGGCAGCGCAGGATGGTGGCAGGAAGCTTTGGCACTTTTTGAGGCGGCACGCAAGTCTCTTAGAGGCGAGGCATCGTTTGAGCAGTCTGCCAGCAGAGCGCTTGAGTGTTGAATGTCGATCCGCAGGCACCAAACAGGCCGCACCGTCACAGGTGGATGTGCGATTGATTCTTGGGCTCTGTTTCGGTTGGCATCGTGCTGGACTGAAAACATTGAAAACGCTACAGCTAGCAAGGTATAATGCTGCCATCGCTGCCATGCGATCGTCACCGTTCTGGTGGCAGCAAGCATGTGCGTTTGTCAGCACGATGTCCGCCGCAACGCTTCAGCCTGACATTTCGACGATCAACTCAGCAGCAACGGCCTTGAAGGGCCACACGCCTGCATACAGCTTGATTTGCGTCCCTCCCGCACTTTGTTGCAGTGTGACTTGCTGGCTGCATGTCGAGGAGAGTTGCTGTGGAAGCAGGCGCTTTCAGTGTACATGGAAGCAGCAGCGGGGGGCATATACATGGACGAGGAGCTTCGCTGCATGTATCCCATTTCGTCCACGCGACCAGTAGAAATGCCACAGCAGTGTTGCAGGTTGGCGCCAATGTTCTGCTTGCTGCCATGGTTTCGATTGACTGCCAATGGACAAGGAGCCGTAACAGCAAATACAAGATGAGTGATGCTAGGAAAAGTTACTCTTGCTGTCAGACTGCCTTGTGAGGGCAATGGACTTGTTCCGATCTGCACCTCTTGGATTCTTGGAGCCAGATGTATGCTCACTGAGCTGCGCGCTGGGCGCCGTGACTGCAAGGTATGCAAGGCAAGGCCGTCAGAATTCAGCATGAAACGTTTCTGTCTGTGCTTTGGTAGTTGGATCTGTAGGTATTCTCGGTGCTCGCTCGCAGTGGGCAAAAAGCTGCTGGCAACTGCGAACTGCACATGACGCAAAGCTGCACAATCAATGTTGCTGGCAAGTAGCTTGGCGTGGAGCAGCCCCTGAAGGATTCAGATACTGTTGCTCTCAATTCGGCGCTGAGCAGTGTGGAAGAGAATTCTCGTTGGGCAGCTGGACTATCCCTGGTTGCCTTCGCCAGTCGGCGTCAACTCCAAGCGGACCTGACCTTACAATCATCGTTTCTTCTTGTAACGCTCGCTTTCCTTCGTAGCCCAAGTGCAAGTAAGGACACAATCAGTCTCAACACTGTCCTCAGTGGAGCAAACAGGCAAGGTGCTTGGCACCGTGGCACGTGGCTTGGTTTGTTGAATTGAGATCCAGCACGAGGGTTGAGGTTGAGGTTAGACGTCAATTTAATCGCCGTGCGTGGATCCTAGGCAATGCTTGGAATGGCTACGGCAGCACCTCGGCCGTGGATTGGTAGTCTTTGTCGGAAAGATTCCCCTAGGTACGAATTTTGAGACAGTGAAAGGTGAAAACTAATCAAATGCAAAACGCGCAACGATGTGCAACGCTTTCGCTCAAGGCATGACTTCTCCGAGAAACAAACATTTTGTTGCTCATTGCATCGGGTGCACAAGCAAGATGGTGTTTTTAGCTTAGGATTGGCGAGCCCACCCTGGTTTCTTACAACTCCCTCCTCTTGAGTGTGCCTTGCTTGACTTTGCTTTGCTGCTGCCCTGTTTGTGTGAGCAGCTGACTGATGCAGCTTAGGCTGATGGTGATGGAAGGCGGTGGGAAAGTGCTGTTCAGCTGGAGTCTCAGGGTAGGCAATGTGGGCTTACTTCTGGGCTTCTGCAGTAGGGCTCCACTCAGGATTCTAGAGGATATCGCTACCGACAGCTTGCGCCCTGATGTAGTCCATGTGACGGAGCAACAATTCAGGGTTTCCTGCCGCACAAGGTGTGCCCGGAAAAGCTCCCTCACTTGCTCCAGATTTGGTGACAATTGGGTCTGTGGGAGGCATTCTGCAGGCTTGGTTTGGGGGTGCCTGCCTGTAAAGTGTTCTTCGCGCTGTGCTGCTGTGAGGCCTTTGCCCAGTGGGAACAGGCGGTGCTTCTTGTGACAGGCGGACCGCACGAAGGCAAGCCAGAAGGCACTGCATCAAGCGATTGTGCGGCGACTTGTGGAGCATGCTTCAAGGTTCAGGCGAGTACGCAACGTACGCAGCTTCAAGGAGTGACAAGTTTGCTCACTATCCTGTGGATAGAATGTCGCGCGACTTTTTGTGCAAGTATTTCACATGAAAGCTGTTGCAGTGCGCCCGCTCTCGGCAACATGGTGGCTGCTGCTGAGCGGGCTGGGTGCATCTTGCCTGTATTGTTCGATGTAAGCCCAATGATTTTGCACATCGGGCTGTTTCGATGGCAAGCTGCAATCGGCAAACTCGGCCTATCCCATTGTGCGTGGCCAGCGTGGGCAACAGCAAAGCGGGCAAAGCACACGCAGTAAAGCATTCAGCGCATCCACCAACAGATGACGAAGACAGGTGCTGGGAGCGAGCCCTGGACTTGATTTGGTGGGCGAAGGCGCAAAAGTGTCAGGTGAAACCAATCGGCGATTGCAAGCCTGCAAGAGTCTGCAAGAGTCTGAATAGGCAAGGGCAACGGTAAGTGACATTGTGTCCTGTGGAAGCGCGGCCTGCACAGCGGTACGATCCTCAGAAATCAGCGGTTCTCAGGGCCTTGCATTCAAGATCGCAAGGCCATGGGTGCCCTCTCCAAGGGCAAGCAGTGGCAGACCTCTCTGTGCCAGACCCTTAGATTCCTCAGCTCGCCATCCGGTTTGAAAGCGGAGAATGCCGTCGTTTGGCGTGCAAGCCAAGGTCTGACAGAGTCAGAAGGGCAACGCAACCCCATTGCCGCTTTGACGCAGAAGTCTCTGGCAGACTCTTTTCAGAAGTTGTACCTTGTGGCTGCGTAGGCGGCCAATGCTGGCATCACCTCTGTGTCGCGAGGACCAGCGACGATTTTGCAGTACACTTTCTGCAAAAGCAATTTTTCTGAAGTTGTCAGGTACTGCTTGGCAGAGTGGCTACTTCATGCTGGAGAGCATGAAGCATCTGCGGCTCCAGGCTTGTCGCCCTCGCGTGTCGTTTGAGCTAATTTTCAGGAAGTCTTCCGTGCAACCTCGCTTCAGCACATGCAAAGCTGCTAGCCAGTGCCAGCTTTGTTATTGTTTGTTGACGTGTAATGATGAATCTTGGTGCAGCAGCCATGAATTTGTGGCAGAGGTTGACAAGCAACAAATGCTGTAGGCACTTGCAGCAAAGGTTCAGCACAACACCTCATTCCAAGAAGCAAACATCAAACGTAGGCACATGTGGAGGGAGGGGGCATTCCAAAATACTAAAGTCCGCAGCAGCCGTTTCAAAGTAGCTCTGAACCTTCACCATTCTCAAGCTAGTGACGCAAGGCCGACATCTTCACTTACACGGCCGCTATCTCTTGCGAGAAGGCGCCAATGACAATGTTGAGCGAAAGTACGAAGTAAGGGAGCTGTGAAATTTGGGCGCTGAACAGAAGACCTTTGAAGGACTTATGTACATGGCTCACGTACATGGCACAGTGCAGGTGTATCCTTCTGCTCACGCACGTCGTCCCTAACCCACGAAACATGATGGAGTGCTGTGCCATGTGCCTTTGGCTCAATAAATGTTTATGAGGATGAGCTGCAATGGTTCGGGCTACTAGAAGGAGAGTTGGGCACTGTGCGCAGATGTTAAGATCAGGCTGGTGCGCTGCAAGCACGGAAAGTCTTGGAGCACTGACTTGTGGATCGGTGCGCTGTGCAGCCCTTGCTGCATCTCATGGTGAGCTTGATGGTTCACTGCCTGACTTTGTCCTGGCGAAGCAGAAGAGGACCTGGCTGCATTGGCGCGTGCCTGTCTGCTGGAACTGACTGGTACGCTTGGTATGGAGCTGCACCACCTATGGAAGCTGGGAGATAGAGCAACCCCAGCTGAGGCCACAGTTTTTTTGGCATAAATGCAAACGCTAGCGCCTCCGCCTTGGCCTCCGAGCTCCTGGCAGGTTGGATGATGTGCGGGGAGTGTTTTGGAAGCCTACCAAATTTGGTGTGTCGTAATTTGCGAGAGCAACCTGTGGGCATATAGCATCCAGCATCATGTGCAGTCTCTGAGCCGCGCTGGCATCCTGACACAATGTTGCAAACGCGGAGCCCTGTATCGTGTTGCCGCGCAGCTTCACTTGCCAAAGCATAACCTTACGTCGCCAGGGGCCATTCTTCCCATCTTTCTTCAGCATGTCGCATCAATCAAATGTTTCATCCATCACAAAGGTGGACATCTTCAGATTCGTTCGCAGGGCTCAAGGCCGTGGGGCCTTCAGGGGCGGAGCTCCCCAGACCCTTGCAGAAAAGGAACAAACCTGTTTATGAAAGGGCTTGCCAGGGAGGGAGGCCGCGGCAGCTTGGTCTTTCTGTTCCAAACTGCTGTCACGAAGGCAAAATTTGCATGTTCGAATTTGAACTTGAAGCAAAGGCGAGGTCACTGTGTTCCGCACGAGGTGAAACGAAGACTTGCTACAAAACTGCCACAGTGGAGATCCAACCCCAAGTTGGCGACAAAGCTGCTGGGAAGACTGATTCGTCCGGGCCACGCTCGCCTGGCGGATATGGTCCTCACTGAAATGTATGGCTTCAGTGTGGAGGCAGAGCTGCGTGATCCTTTATTTTCCCGCAGGTGGGAGTTTTGTTTAGATGCTCCATTGGCAGGTCAACATCTTTCACTTTGGTGCTGCAATCGCAGCATGCGAGTTAAGAGGCCAGTGGCAACAAGCGTTGCTCCACCTGCACGTCATGAAGGAGACGCTTGGTGTCAGGCTGCTTTCCCTTTCCGTGTCTTTCTTGGCATGGCCATTTATTATTATTGTTACCAGTAGTAGTAACGTTCTGCTAAAAAATTGGCTGGTGTAGTTGGAGGGCTCCGCTTGTCCATACCATGGCTACAATCTGTCTACATCACTAGAAGGTGCTCGCCAGGGGTAGGTGGAGATTTTAAAGTTCTGTTCGTCAACAGGGAGCATGGATTCATGCAATATTGTCTGGGGCAGAACAGTGACATGTCTCAGCTGACGAGCCCGCTCAGCAATCTGCGGATGTTAAGACCGTTTCTATGCTTGCAGATTCTGTTGTCAAACTCTACTGTGGAAGGTCACCTCAGTATCCTGTGTCAATTTCACTATCAACAGTTAGAGCACAACGTAGTTGTTTTTGTATGAGGTATGCGAAACGCAAGTCTTGAGCCGTGTTTGGGGACTCAGTCATGACAGCTGAGTATCCGAGATGGCTCTGCTTGCTCTGGCGAGTGCACAAGCCCAGATGGAAAAGTGCGATTTTTATTGCTGTTCTTACAATTATTCGTTCTTCTATTTTTGCGAGTATTATTGCTATCATTATGATTATCACTATTACTATTGCTATTCCTATTATTTTTATTTGGGCAGAAGATTCCAAGGATGCAGACTTGGCCGGACCTGATTTCCTACAATGCTGCGCTCTCAACGTGCTCCAAAGGTGATCAGTGGCAGCTGGCCATCTCCTTGCTCAGCTCTATGACTCTTGAGACGATTGAAGCCGATCATGTCAGCTTTAACTCCGTGCTGTCTTCCTTCTGTGAAGGGTTGCAGTGGCAGCGCATGTTCAAGATGCTTGAAGACATGCCTGAACAGCATCTTTCCCCGGATTCCATTACGTACCTGACTCAGTTTACTGATGTTTGCGGTGCATGCGACAATCTTCTTAAGGCTGCTGGTTTATTGCCCCTTGAAGCTAGGTGCAACGTCGCCATCACTGCTTGCTCGCGACTAGGGCGGTGGCAGCATGCCTTTCAACTACTCCAAGGGATGTACGCAAGCAACATCCAGCCCAGCATAGTCAGCTTTGGGAGTGTCATGGACGCATGTGGCTGCCACACGATTCTCTGGGACCGAGCCATTGCAGCAATGCACGACTTACCCAAGGCTCTGGCTTTCCCTTCTGAGTGTTACAACAGTGTAGGAGGCGGATGGCTCACATTTCATAGTAAAGATGTGGGTCCAGCAGTTCAAGATGGATTTTGGCGCGAGAAGTGCTTTGTAGGTCCAGTTTGGAGCATTTGGGGCCAGGGAAAACCAACAAAAGCAGGCCAAAAAGCATGTGATGATGGAGCAAAGAAGTAGTCAATCCCTGAAAGGCAAGCTTGAAGCCAAACTCTGTGATCTGCGGCACAGCCATCAGTGCATGCCACAAGTCGGAGGAGTGGCAGCAAGCCCTCTGCCTGCTGACTAGCGTGGAGGATTTGGCAGTGACGCTGGATAAGATGACGTGCAGTGCAGCTATTAGTGCGTGCGGAGCAGCGTGCAAGTGGCAGCTTGCTTTGAGACTCCTTAGCGAGACGCTAGACCAATCCATATCACCAGACCAAGTCATGTACAGCTCCGTCATAAGCGCTTGTGCGTCGGGAAGTCAACCGGACAGATCCATCCAGCTCATCCAAGCCATGTCTACGGTGTCCGTCAGACCGAACGATGTCTGCTACACGGAGCCTTGCCTTTATTTGTGCCATGCAGGCGTGCATGCGCGAGACCAGGGCATAAAGTATCCTTGATGTTGCGTGCTTTGTTTCTTGATTATTTGGGCTTTGCTCAGGCGGCAGCATTGGCCTGCAAGACAGCAGGTGATTGGCCAGGAGTTCTGCATCTGGTGCGCGGAATGCGGCAGCATGCACTGGTACCGAGTGAGATCATCTATGAAGCGGCGGTCACGGTCCTCGAACAAGCTGGCAAAGTTCACATGCCGCAAGAGTTCCTCGACCTGCTCGGCAGACGGGCAGAACAGAGCATGAGTTTCACCAAGACGTTGCGCTAGCGCACAGCAAAGGTTTTTGTTATCCTGATTAAGCCCGAATCTTTATTGTGATATGTTGTGATCTTGCATGCTCGAAGACGTTCTGCTAGACGTGCACTTCCGTCTCAAGCCAACGAACGTTCTTTGGAGGTCCTTTGGCTTGCCTCGCTTGAGTGTCTGCAGCAAGGTTCTCAGACGTTGGCCCGTCTGTGCTTGTCAATGGTTTGGTGGATCTGGTGTTGAGGTCGCTTCATCAAGAGCTTGGATTGAAGCAGAGCGCATGGCCAGCGGTGAATGCAGTTCCTCGGCGCTTTTCAGATAAGAAGCTTCCCATGTACAACGTGTCAAGGGACAAATTGTCTTCGCAATGTGACGCGTTGCTACAAGGCAGTCAGTGCTTGTGGAAGCGGCAGGACCACTCTGTGTTGCGGGCATTGCTGGGTGCCCGATTGCTGTCCAGACGACTCCAGGAGTTGGCGGTGGCCTCTTGAACTCATGTTCGGCTCAACAACCGCTCTGACAGGTGCAATCCTCAGAGTGGTCGTTCAAGGATGTAAGTCCCACTGCAGCACCCTTCTCATCACAGAAGGCTTCGTGGACCCTTCGCACTTGGAGGCGCCTAGCCACCATGCAAGGACCACGTGTACTACATCCACTAGCTTTCGGTCTTGCATACGTGCCTCTCTTTCTCTGTCTCTCTATGCTCGTTCTGTGTCTTGCGAGGCTTGTCAGCCTGGTCTGGCTGCTGTTTCGCGTGCACCCCAGAGTGGGGTACGGTGCAATGTTGGCATAGCTCGCTCTGCGCTTTGGTCTTGGCCGAGGTTGGTTTTGAGTGAAGAGGGTCGCTGGGAGCATGCCATGCGAGTTCTTGATGAGCTTCAGCTCAGGAGGGTTGCACTAGTGAGCGCAGAAGCTTGATGACTTTACCATGCTGGCAGCTGATCTGGACAGGAGCATGCAACCAGACATAGCCAGCTGTGGGCTATTGATGTTGCAGCCCTAGCTTTCGAGAAGGCGTCATGCTGTGCCATCATGCTTGCGCAGCATACTGCAGGATGCAATGCGAGCAAGCAGGCCAGCTCCAAATGTGGCAGTATTCAGTTTTTGGGTTAGGATTTAGCGCCAACATGCCTTCACTGCTGCCATGTTGCATGCAATGTTTATTCTCGGGGGCCCATGGAGAAGCGTCTAGCAGGGATCCCAAGATTAATTAAGTATCCGCAGTGTCTGGACAACTTCCAAGCACATTCAGAGACGCACCTTATGATGTCTCGGCAGGATTGGCGGGCCAAGAAGCTAGCATGCTCCGTTCGTTGTGTGATGTGGCTTCTGGCTTGTCCGTAGCTGGCTCAGTTTCTCTACAGGTTCAGCTGGGTGTTCACAAAGTCTAAAGCCACTCTGCGTCATTTCCAGAGGCATCCCTTGTCACGACCGCGCAGAACGTGGCAAAAGGTTCAGAACGTTCCAGGCCAGCGTGGTCTTTCTCAAACCAGATAAGCCTGCAAGACAACCAAAATCTATAATTTTATAGATATCTCCGGATATATTCTGGAGATAAAATTTTCGTCCGTTAAAACTCATAGTTTGATCCAATGAACAATTGAGTCAATCGAACCCACGCCGCAGATAGATAATAAGTTGATCCCCCCAAGATCCTCCTCGAAAGGATTCAATCTGGATTTTCTTGATTTTATCTTACATCTTAGAATAAAGATTTTCAAAATTCAAATTCTACTATTTTCTAGAAATATCTATTTCTACTTCAATGATGAATAATATATTTTGAAAATATATATCATGACCGCTGGAATACAATAATTGATATTTTCAAATTTCAATAATATACCTCAATATTACAGCGTGCCCACTTGGGGTCATTTCGCTCGCACGCGACCTAGATTTTCTAACTCCCCTCTAAAATACCTCTTGCGGGGTCTCTAGGGACTTCTAAAGCCTCGGAGATTGGAGGGCCTTTCAGAAAAGCTAGAGGCTCTAAAATCTTCGAGATTTTTTGATGAGGGAGACGCAACTAAAAATCTCGGAGATTTTGGGTCGCGTGACCCGTGCCGCCTCCGGAACGAATTTCCGTGAGATTCATCTCTCTTTGGATCGTTGTGCGGCTACTCGGCGGAGAACATAGATTCGAGACGGAGAACTAAAACATATTAGGATTTATAGATAGGTCGTATTTATCTTCAGAGATATATACGCTCTCCCTAGCCGCCGCGTAGATAATCCAAGAAAGATAAATGAGGCGGAAAGACCGTGCTGGATACGGGGGCCGCGCGATCCGAAATCTCCGAGAATTCGATTAATTTCTCTCTCTTCGGTTATCGAAGCGGCGGCTCGGTGTAGGCCCTGGGCAGAGATTTAAAATCTTTCAGAATCTATTAGGCTTTGATTACGTGCGGTTCTTATATATTGATTATTCGTCGAGATTCACGTGCGATTTTATATATTCCGTGGGATTTATTTCTCTTTGATTGTCGGCGCGGCTGATCGGAGGAGTGCGTAGATCTAGGAAGGAGAAAAAAAGATTTTTTGAATTTATAGGCTGGCCGTATCTGTTTACGGAGATTTATGCGCTCTTTCGAATTGTAATTCTAAAAATTTTCAGGATTTATTGGATTGGTCGTTTTATTTTTATCACGTGCGGTCTTATATATAGATTCTTCGTCGAGATATAGATATGATCGAATATATTTGAGGGATTTATCTCTCTTTGGTTATCGGCGAAATTAATCGGATGAATACGTAAATCTGAGACGGACAATCTCAATTTTTTTAAATTTCTAGATTGATCGTATTTATTCATAGAAATTTATGATGTTCTCTCGAGCCGCCGTCTAGATAGATTAAGAGAGATAAATAAGGCGGAAAGGTCGGTTTGAACACGGGAAATCTACGGCTGCCTGCGCGGCGGCTCGGGGGAGCGTGAAGATCTGGGGCGGAGATCTAAAAATCTCTAGATTCTGCATATCACGTGCGGTCTTAAAATCTTGCTAGTTCATCGGTCTTCACGCGCGAGCTTATATATTATTTGATCATCGGATTTTCCGTTATGAATTATCTCAAAGAAATAATTTTCGTTATAATAGGCAATTACGTTCTAGATCTATTTAATCTTCAAAAATATATATATTTATTTTTGGTCGAATATTGCATATATTGATTTTCATTTTTGATTTTTTTTTTTTTTTCAAGAATATTTGGTCAATATGAGAGAAATTCTTCGATAGATTAATTTAGAATTGATATGAGAAATGATTTGAAACTAAATTTGATTGCTATGATAATCTCATTAATATATATTGGGATCTTCGATATAATAGACAATCTTCGAGATGATTAATTTCTCGTGTTCTTAGATGAGATATTTCACTTATAATAAGGAAATATAGGTCGAATGAATTATTCATAATTTTGAATATATGAATATCTTATATTTTTAATTTTTGGATATTGAATGATAGTTCTATCTTTTTGACGAATACGATTTTGAGAGAATCATTTGATGATTGAAATTGAAATCGCCTATTTATGAAATGATTAATTTTCGATTCTAAATGAATTAGCTAATTTCATATCGATATATATCAATAAAGATTGGTCAATCTTCTGAATAGAATAGAATGAATAGATGAAGTTATTTTATCATCTTGGTCATCTCAAATTTTCATAAAATAATGGGATACATATGAAAAATTAGGAAAATTTGATATATGATCATTAGAGATAAAATCTAAAATAGATCAACAGGAATGATATGATATTAAAAGGGATCAATATTTTCTCTATCCGTATCAAATGAGATCTTGAGAAATAAAATTTCTTATATAATTTCTACGAGATATATATATTTCTTATCTAATATGAAATCTCGATGATTATCAAAGAATACCTATTTCATTTCTTTCGAAATAATCAGAAGAATCAATAAGATGCTATAATATTCAAATAAATCCGTCGCGATCCCGAAGCTTCAAAATCATCGATATTTTCCAATTTCCTATCGATTGATTTCTATAGAGATTATAAATATTAATTATCGAATTATTCAAATGAAATATATAGAAAAAGATAAAAATATTGGTTCAATATTATCGTTTTTCGATTCTATTATTCGACGATTATCAATATATATGATATCTTTTCGATATGATTTGATGAAAATTTTGATATCAGATATTTCATTAATCTAATTCATATTTTCATTTTATTTTATCTATTTATTTCCTAGAAATTACAAGAAAAATCATGCGAGATATAATGATTTCTAATAATCTTCTACTATTTATATATATAAATCATATATAAGATTTGAAATTTAGATAGAATTTATTGAATATCTTTTCTCAGAAAATTCATAATTCTCTATTTCTTTCCAAATATTGAATAATTCATTCAAAGAATATATTTAATCATTCTAAATTTCAAAACTGATTAGCTCAAATCTAAAAGAATTTTATATCATATCTTCATCGAATTTACGAAATGAAATTATTGAATCCTTCTGATGAAGATAATCTCTTCAATAAATCAATATTTTTTTCATTTCTAAATTCCAGATCTATTCCTATATATCATATTAAAATCTTTCTTTTTGAGATTGAGAATATTATCGATATATTGAAATTTTGGATATCTTTTTTTTTTCTTTTCGATATCCAATAATTATGAGATCGAGAAAAAGACCAATATAGATCAATTGAAAATTAGATAGATTTCTCTTAAAATCATTTTAATTTATATGATAATATCAAATTTAAATGATGATATCAATTATCATATTCATTTTTATCGAATTTAAAAATATAATGATCGATAAAGATTGAGAATAATAGATGAATAAATATATGATTCGTCTATATTCAAGATCTCAATAATTAGAAAATATAACTAAATATC